GCACTTTGATTATCACAATATAAATCAGTAGAAGAAGGTTGAGAAATGCCATATCTTTAAGAAACCACCGTAATGAAAGAAGTTCTGATGTGGTATCATCGAGAGCTCTATACTCAGCTTTAGTACTAGAGCGAGATGGAATAGTTTGTTTCTTACTTCGCCAAGAGAGAAGAGAATTACCAAGGAAAAGACAGTAGCCAGTGGTAGATCGACAATCGGAAAGGTCACCAGCCCAATCAGCATCAAAGTAAGCATGAAGCACAGGAGAGGAGTTGGCAGAAAAATGGAGTCCATGAAATAATGTTCCCTTAACATAGCGAATAATGCGAAGTACTGTTGCATAATCAGTGGAGCGAGGAACAGCTATAAACTGACTAATAATGTGAAATTACATATGCTATATCAAGGTGTGTCATGGTAAAATAAATCAGACTACCAACCAATTGTCGATAACGAGTAGGATCAGAAAGTGGAGAGCCATCCATAGGTCTAAGCTTGACATTAGGTTCAAAAGGTTCAAAAGGTGTAAAAACACTCTTACCATCATTAAGTTCAATTTTAGAAACAAGATCGGAGGCATACTTTACTTGAGAAAGCAGGTAGCCATCATCTGAAGAGGTGACTTCAAACCCCAGGAAATAGCTCAAAACACCAAGATCTTTCATCTCAAATTTCTAGCTGAGAGATCGTTTTAGCTCCACAATACTTGCGACATCATCTCCAGTAAAAATCATGTCGCCAACATAAAGAAGTAAAAGAACCATACCCCGAGCAGTTTATGAATGAACAGAGCTGTATTATGTGGACTGGAAGTAAAACCAAACTCACTCACAATAGCACTAAACTTGGCATACTAGGCTCGAGGGAATTACTTCAACCCGTATAATGCACGTCGCAATCAGCATACCTTGTTTGGAGGATGGTCGAGCCTAGGAGGTGGTTTCATATAAACTTCTTCTTCTAGGTCACCATTAAGAAAAGCATTTTTCACATCCATCTGAAACAATTTCCATCTTCGTATAGCAGCGATAGTAAGTAAGCTGCGCATAGATGTGAGACGAGCAACTAGAGCAAATGTTTCCTCATAATCTATTCCATATTCTTGTGTAAAACCCCTGGCAACCAAGTGTGCCTTATAACACTCCACAGAACCATCAGATCTTGTTTTGATCTTGTACACCCATTTACAGCCTATCAGAGACTTTTCAGCAGGGAGATCAACTAAATCCCATTTACGAGTGTTCTCAAGAGCTTGTAATTCATCTTACATAGCTTGTTGCCAAAAAGGGTTAGAAGAGGCCTCTTGATAGGATCAAGGCTCATGTAAAGAAGTAATAGCAGGAAAATTATTTATAATCACAAAGGTAGTTGGGAGGGTTTCTTACCCAAGTAGGATGACTCGAGGATGGGACAACAAGCTCATTTGTAGACTCAACAATATCAGATGCAACATCAACAGGTGATACAGATGAGGAAGTAGACGAAGGCTCAGAATTATGTAATGCATTACCGCAAGTAGATCATCTTTTATAGAACTAGTTGGAGCATGTGGTGAAGCACTATAGAGCTCATCAAAATTACTAGGAAATAGCTCAATAGAAGGATTAGTAAAAAATGGAGATTGATGAGAGGATGACACTTTGAGGTTTGACAATAATGAAAACATAATGTGTTCCCAAAAGAAAACATAACATGAAACTCAGAGTTTTTGTGACACAGGATCCCAACAACGATATCATTTTTGTGTAATCCCATAACCCAAAAAACAACATAATTGAGCTCTAGGCTCTAACTTGTTATGTTCATGAGGTGGAAGAAGAACAAAACATACACAACCAAAAAGCTTAAAAAGATTATAGGCAGGAAGAATACCATGTAAACGCTCGTATAGAGACTGGTTATTAAGGACTGATGATGGAATGCGATTAATAAGATAAATAGCTGTAAAAGCAGCTTCACCCAAAAATCGCTCCGAACAAGATGATAAAATGAGCAAAGCACAAACAGAATCAAGGATGTGTTTGTGTTTGCGTTCGGCTTACCCATTTCGTTCAGAAGTGTAAGGACAAGATTGTTGTGTCAATGTTCTTTCAGAAAGGATTGAAGTTTAGTACCAAGATATTTAGTAGCATTATCTGTTCTCAAAATTTTGATAATTTTAGAAAATTGAGTTTTGATCATGGTAGCAAAATCAACATAAATTTGTGATAATTCAAAGTGATTTTCATAAGGTATATCTAGATAAAACGAGTATGATCATCAATAAATAACACGAAGTACCTGGAACATCCCATGGTGGGTGTAGGAGATGGACCGCAAACATCAGAATGCACGAGATCAAAAGGAGCAGTAGAATGAGAATGATGACTCAAAAAAAATAAAGTTGGTTGCTTTGTAGATAGACATGACACACAATGCAAGGATTCATCCGAAATTGACCCTAATAAACCATGAGAGATAAGTGGACAAAGTTTAACAACTAAGGTATGTCCAATCTGTGAGTGCCACAAATGGAGAGGAGAAACATTATTAGCAACACAAGCTTGCAAAATTTGTTGGTGTGGAATTTGTAGAGACTCTAATTTAACAGCACAAAGCAAGGTTTGGATGAATCAATCATTTGGAAATGATGGTGTATCCATTTTATTATCAGAAATATGCAAATAGTTGAGCTCAAACAAACGCCCCACCTTGCGACTAGTTCCAAGAAGTTGTTCTATCCGTGGGTCCTACACACAACAACCATGAGCAGAAAATGTTACTTCAAGACCAAGATCACATAATTGATCTATAGATAAAAGATTATAACTAAGTTTTGGAACGAAGAGGGCATTTGGTAAAGTCAAAGACTTTGTAAAAATATTACCAATGTGACTAACATTCATAGGGGAACCATTGGCAGAATAAATTTCTTGAAATGAATTATTTGGTGATATTGAAGAGAAATGCACAATAATTGAAGACATATGATTACAATAACCTGAATCAAAATACCAAAGTTTGGTACTTCGAGCAATAGATAAGGCAGTAAAAGCATTAAAAAAATTTAATATCACATGTTTTAGGGATTCAAAATTGACATTAGGTTGGTCTATTACTTCTTTGGCAACTATAGCAGTAGCAGGATGAATTATAATTCTTTCAAAACTCACCATAGAATCAGTAAAACTCACAATACAAAAAAACTCTAAAAAAAATGAAGAAATAGATGCCAATATTGAAACGATAAATCAACAAAATACCTCAAAAAAAGCCTGAGAATCAAGGATAAACAATCCAATCTGCAGGAGAAGAAATCCCAACGACAAAGTTTCAAATCTGAAATAGAATTGAAAATCCAACTTCAAAAACCAAACAACAAGGATAAGAGAAAAGATTCAGGAGCTTATAGCTCTGATACCATGTTGGAAACAAAAAGAAGAAGAATAATTTGAAGAAAGGTTTATTGCTTTCTTGAATAATACTGTATGTACAATGAACTATATATAGGTGCTTACAAAGAGAATATTCTAAAGTATAAAATATTTATAATAATTATAAGTATAATTGTGTTCACATCTTAACACCTGCTTTACTAAGCATGTCTATCAATAAAAAATTCAGGAAAACCAGGTGGTGGTGGTGGTACCAGGGTGAATGTTGGCGGCAAAGGTGAAGTATCTGTGAGCTCGGGAGGCAAGGGCAAGCCTGTGCTTACAAAGAGAATATTCTAAGATATAAAATATACAAAGAGAATATTTTAAAGTATAAAATATTTATAATAATTATAAGTATAATTTTGTTC